AGATAGGGTCTCACGAACTATTTGCCTGGGCTGGCTTTGAACTGAGATCCTCCTGATCTCTGCCTCCTGTGTAGCTAGGATTACAGGCGTGAGCCACTGGTGCCTGACTTGTACCAGAAAGTTTCAACTTAAATGCTTCCTTGTTCCTTAACACTGGCAATTCCACCTGCAAGTCACCTTTCAAATGAAGGTTTTTCTTTGCATTCCTAACTATCTCCATAGTTTTGAGCCAACACGTGCCCACTCTTCTCCTGAACTATTTCATTAGCCTCCTCACTGCACTCTGCATTTCTAGATTCTTCTCTACTCAAACTATGCTTCATATAGCCAGCAGCCCCCTATATCTCTCTCTCTCTCACACACAACAAACAACACACAAACACAAACATTTCTCTCTTTCTCACAAACAGACACACACACACATTTTTCTGGGGAGAGCTTGAGCTTTTGTCAAAGTCTCAATGAGAGTGACAATCTACAAAGGGTGAAGAGTCACTGCCCAGTGTCTTTATGTCAGGTAAATAATGCTTGGTTAATGTGGCACAATTGATGGACTACTGGATGAGGCCTACATTCTAGTTTGAATACTGCCACTAATTAGCTATATGATTCTGGGCAATAAATTACCAACTTTGCGCCTGTTTCGTCATCATTAAAATAATGATTTCTTCCAACCTTAAAATGCAATAATTTTATTATTTATAAGTAGATTCATTTAACATCAGCTATTCTACAGTTCATCTCTTCTCAGTCTCTTCTCCTGTGTTCCATTTCATTAGAGAAACATTCACTCTTGTGTGCCATTCACTGGGCTAAGTTCTGGGTATAGAAAGATAAGTAAGATGCTGTTTCAACAACTTCAGAAGTTTATAGTCTAACCGGAAGACATTACGTAGACAAAAAATTGCCATAAAATGTCTGTCTGCTAAGACAGAGGTATGGAGGGCTCAAAGGAGGCTCTCTGGATGAGGGGGTGTCTAACTTTGCTTGGGAAAGTTGGGATGGAGTTGTAGAGGAGGCAATAGCTGAGTCTTGAAGGATGAACAGAACTTTCCAGGCAGAAAGGAGAGGAAGCCATTTCAGGCAAAGGAAACACTATGTGAAGCCTGAGATATTACAGAGCCCCATGATGGTAGAACAATGGGCAGAAGCATATAGTTTGAATGTACTTGTGTTGAATGTTTGGGCTTTGAGTACACAGGGAGTAGCAAGAGATAAGGCTGGAGACACGGAGTGAGTCAGATACTGAAGGTTTTTCCGTACAGCTTCAAGAAGTTTTGACTTCATCTTGTAGATAGCAGAAATCCATAGGAGTCTTTTAGGCAAGGAAGTGACAGGCTGATTTTCCTTTTAGAAAAATCACATTGGCAGCAGAGAGGAGGATGGGTTGGAAGGGAATGAGACAAATTAGGAAGTGATAAATGTCTGAATAACCCAAGGGAATGGGAGTTGAGGGAAAATAATGTGTTCCTTTGAAACCTACTGCATTTAAGGTACCCAAAGAGTAGCCAAGTTAAAATGTGTGGTAGGAAGTTGGAAACATGAGTCTGAAGCTCAGACGAGAGACCTGGAACTAGGAGTGTCAATAATTGAGCAAAAGGAAATAACATTGCTTTGGAAGAGCATGGAATGTGAGGAGTAAGGGGCCAAGGGCTGTATTTGAAGTCAGGAGGTAGAAAGGCATTGAAAGGGTGGTTGGGTCGCAGGGAGTTGTGTAGTGAAGGCAGAAATAAGGAGGATGGTGAAGAGTCCCACCTTTAAGAAGGTGGGATGAGAAGGAAAAGAAAGCTGAAACAAGAGGAGGCTATTGAGTGGAGGGAAATATTTGATTTTGTTAGTTCTGTTAGAAAAACATGAGTGAAGAGGGTTATGTTAGAGACAGGAGAAAATGGGGACAATGGATAGAAGTGAGAAAGGATAAGACCTAATGCTATCTGGAGGGATTAATCTTGGAAGGCAGATGGGATGGCCATTTATTCTTCCCAGAGAGTAGGGAGGAAAGCAGAAAGTTTAATTCTTATGTTAGAATCACTGAGATAACTTTAAAAAGGTGGCCCAACAATTGGATCACACCTCAGAAGTTTCTGGTTTAATTAGTCTGGGATGGATCTGGGGCATTGGTATGTTTTCAAAGCTTCCCAAGTGATTAAAATCTGCAGTAGAGGTTGAGAACCACTTGTTTAATTTGTAGGTAACTTTTTAGATTGGTGATAACAGGATTGAATTTAAGGAAACTCATAGTAAAGACTGGATGAATAGAGAATGGCAAAGGGTTGGGATAGATGAGGAACGGAGAAAGAGAAGGAAATCAGAGGGAAAGGGACCTAATAACTTAGTGACTTTTAGGTACCAGAGATACAGAAATGAACAAGGCTTAAGTCTTGTTCTTAAAGAACTCAATTTCTTATGTGCCAAACATGCACTTCACAGCAATCCTACAACGTAGCAGAGTTCTTGCACAGTTAAGGGTTTTTTTTGTTTGCTATTTTTCTTCCTTTTACACTAACACCACCCCCACCCACCCATCCCCTACATACATACCTCCTGCCCAGACATTCCATAGTATAGACTGGGTCTGGGTTTGGAAATAGTTTTGTAAGCATTAAGAATGGCCCTTCTAAGAAGGTGGATGAATGAGCAAAGAGCTGTAATTATCCCTAGGGGATGGAATTGTTCCCAGGTTCATCAGCAAGGCCATAAGAAGATGCTGGCTGTGGCCCAACATTTGGGTACATTACTGTGGTCACCCATAACCTGAGAGATGACTGAAACTGGTAGTCACTCACACTGAAGCAAGTTTGTGAAGTCTCTATGTTTGAGCAGAGGTACTAAGGAGTCCCCTTTCTCAGAGCAGTGCTGTAAAAAAAAGCCCTCCTTTTCGCCACAGCAGAAGACTCAATCTATGCTACTGTGGACAGTTGCATTGACACAGGAAGCAAGCACTTCTCTGTAGCCTAGGCCTTCTCTTGGAGAGAGTACATTGTCACTTCTTGAGCTCTTTGCATTTTCCCTGGGAGACTCAACCTCCCAGGGCTTCTGAGAAGCCTCTGGTCTGCCTGCCCCATTCCTGCTGATCAGGCCCAAACTGTTAAGGACTTGAAGAGTTTTAACTGAGGGCCGTGGCTTCTGGCCAGGAGCATTCTTCCCTGAGCAAGAGTCCTGAAAGAACTAGGAGTCCTCTTAGGCCTACAGGGAGGGAGAGGAAACTTGACTGGGAAATAACTGGGGTACTGTGTGTGTGTGTGAAGGGGGCTCCCTCTGAAACCTCACTATTCCCTTTTATATAAATGGAATTGAGGCTTGAAGAAATGAAGAAACTTGCCTATATCCCTGAGGCTAGGAGCTATGTGTTTAAAGTCCAATATGTTCCACTCCCTTGTCCTTCAGGTTCCTGGCCTGCCTCTGGCACTCTTAGAAAGATCTTGGTTGGATGTCACCTCCTTACTAAAGAATTAGGCTAGGGCAGGCAAAGTGCCTACCAAGCATGAGGCCCTGAGTTTAAATTCCAGTTACACCCCCCACAACACACACCACACACACACACACACACACACACACACACACACACACACACACAAATAGGTCCTTTGGACCCTAGGATACATGGGGCTTCTCTTTGAGTCTCTGTTTCCTCACTTTGTGAATTGAGAATGTGTGAAATCCATCCTAAGGGCGAGGGTGGAAGGTAGTTCAGAGAACTGCTGGATAGGATGCTACAACAACTAGGTGTAATGTCGGGCATCTCTGTAACCCAGAATTTTCATTGCAGAGGTGTAATTGAAAGTTCCATTCCTCCCAATCTCATCTTCAGAGAAGAGAAAGGAGGGATGGCACTTATTCCAGTCTGATGCCCAATATCTGTTAATCCTGAGGTCTCATCTGTTGACATCCTGACTTTAGGTGGGGCCAATCTAAAGAATTACCTGTAATTCTGATGTTAGAAACCTTTTTCCAATTCTTTGGGTCCCTCTGAGGTCTGTGAAAGAAGCAGGCAGCATGTGAACATAATTCATACTAAACCTGCCAGGGAGTCGGGCAGCACCGCAACGGCCCCAACACTGTCAAATTACATGCTTGCTCTCCAACACTGGAGGTGGAGGTGTGCCCTGGGCAGGGCTGTGGACAACCATGTCCTCCCCACCTGCTTTAGTTCTTCCCCCGCTCTCTTGCCACTTGTCCCTCATATGTCTAGTTGTAGGACCCCCAGTGCAGCCCAGTGCCTGGCACATTACAGACTCAGGTGAATGAGGGCCTCTATGCATGCAGGAACTGGGGTACATGAAATGATGACTCTGTATTTCATGTGCTCTTGGTTCTAAGTCACTCACTGACCCATTATCTGGGAAGAAGGGATGAGGAGAGGCAAGGACTTGGGCAAAGGAAAAGGGAAGTGTATCTTAACATTCTCTATTTTTGAACAGTCACAACACGAAGACAGCCTGTCCTCACTTTGGGACATGTTAGAACGTACAACCCAAAAGGAGATTTAGTATTTAGCAAAAAATTTCATCACGAAAGGAGCAAAAATCTCCAAACAAGAGGAACAGAGGCTGGGAGACTCCTTCCTTGGGATTTCTTAATCACAGGGTTGGGAGGCCAGGTATCAGAATTGGAAGCTGGAGGAGGTTGGGGTGCTGAGAGGGCCCTGCCCAGCCTGGGGAGAGATGTGTGAAGATGCTTTTGAAGTGGTACTGTTCTAGGTTAAGTAGCAGGTTACAGGACAGATATTACTTGTGCTAATGTAATACTTTTACTAGCTCCAAGGGGAGCATGGACTTCCCACAGCCTTTACAGCGGGTACCTGACCACGTCTTTAACCCTGATTGGTTTCTTAGTGTGCTCTGACGCACAAATGCTCTTAAATTTGTTGGGTATTTTGTGATAACCTACAATCCCTCTATCGTGCCCTCAATTTCAGAGTATCTGAAACTCCTAGGGTGGAGAGTCCTGTCTACTTGGGATTAGGCTCCCGGCTGGCCAAGGCATTTTCACTCTTGGTGGTTTCCTGGGAGAAGGCTCTCTCTTCTCCGCCATCCAAACTCCCCCGCCCTCGTTGTCTCCCCCTCCCCTGCTCCCCCATGGCAGGGTTTCCTTTATAATTAATCCCAACACTCAAACCAGAGGGGAGGAAAAAGTGTTAATGAGGGAGCGTCCCAGTCTGACTGGGCCGCCGCCGCTCGCAGCTAGAGCACCGAGTAATTAAATTATTTTTGGAAGAGGGGGGTATGGTGGTGATGGTGTCAGGGAAATCCCCGTATGCATGGGAAGAGGGGCTCGTCTCTTGCTACTAATTAAAATCAGGGATGACTCTTTTCATAGCTCTAGGGGGAAAAAAAAATCAATCTTCCCACGTCTCAGATTCCATTGGATTTCGTGTAGTCGGGTTTGCGGCCCTAGAGAAGAGAATACGGCTAGCCTCGGGGGTCTGGGGGCAGCATTTTCGACTGGGGCATCGAGGAACACAGCTCCAAGAGGAGCTGCGGGTTGAACCAAGGCCAATAATCAAAGCAGCCTCCTGCCCATCTTTGGGGACCAGGCTCGCAGCCCCGCGCGTATTCCCAGGATCTGGGAGGGCGGCCCGGCATCCCAAAGAGCAGGGCTGGGGGGAAAGGCGACTTCGGGAAGAGCCCGGCCGCAGACAATGGACGCAGCGGCAGGAGGGGCGACAGCAGTGGGAACAGCCGGGAGGCGCACCCGGGAGCGCGCGCTCCCCCGCCCCTTGCGCCCCCCTCCGTCCCCTCCCCCTCCCCCTCCTCCGCCGCCGGCTCCCGATCTGATTCCTGATCCCTGATTCCTTGATCCTTGGTCCCGCCATGGGAGCCTGAACGCCCTCCAGTACCCCCTGGCCCCCCTGTCCCCGGGGCCTCGAGGGGGAAAGAGGCAAGAGGTCTGGGACTGAGCAGGGGTAAGGAGATTCAGGACCCCCCTCAACACCCCGCATTGCCCGCGCTGCCCGTCCCGGAGCGCGGAGTTCGGAGCGACCCCGAGCGCTGCGGATACAAAGGCGTCGGGCCGAGCCGGGAGCCCGCCGAGCCCACCCGGTAGCTCGCAGCGACGGGTGAGTGCTGGGCCGCGGGGGCGCGGGCAAAGTTTGCAAAAAAGAAAAGAAAAAAGAAAGAAAGGGGGGAAAAAGGCAGCAGAAAAGAAGGACAATCTCTTGTAAGGGGCCAGGGGGTGTCTGGCCCTGGAACAAGAGGGGAGGCTTATTGGGAAAGGGGGGCTCAGGGCACCCCCCTTCCGGTCGGCCCTTCTACAGCACAGCTGAGTACCCCCAACTTTGGGGAGGGGAAGGGGCGCGTGGGGAAGGGGCGGAGCCCAGGCCTGAAGAGCCGGGGACTTTCCTGGGCCCCAGGCCCAGGCAGGGGCCTCAGTGATCCCGGGGGATCCGGTCGAAGCCGGGGACTGCGAGCGTGTGTTGGAGGTTGGGGAGAGAGGCGGTGGAAGGATCGCAGTCTGGAGGTACTGGAAACCGAGTGTTTGGGGATGCACACACACCTCAAGAGTGTGGGGAGGGCTGGAGGGGGGGCAGGTATGCATTCGGGCTGCAGAGTGGAGTCTGGGGAACCGGCAGTGGACAGTAGAGGGGGTGTGTGTGCAGCCCGAGGATAGGGCTGGCGATGGGAGACCTGTGCACTGTGTGTGGGGGCCGAGGGGACCGCTTTGGCATCTCTCGCCCCACTCCTATTTATCCATCCAGGGACCTGGGCTCTGTATTAATGAATTTTAAAGGGTCAGTGGAGGATCAGTGTGCACGATTCTTTGTTTTTGTGTGTGTGCACGCCTTGACGTGCTGCATGTTCCTGCAGGTGGGCCCTGGGTTTGGCTATGTAGGGGCTTGAGTGTGCGTGCGCCCACGGAGCAGGCTGACCCTGCATCTGCTGTGTGTTTGGTTATGTATTTACGTGTATACTCAGGAGCTCAGGGGAGTGAGAGAGAGAGTGTGAGAAGAGTGTGTGTGTGTGTGTGTGTGTGTGTGTGTGTGTGTGTGTGTGTGTGTGTGTTGGGAGAGGAGCTTAGAGGAAAGAGGCAGATAGGTGCTAAGGAAGGTGGGTTTATAAAAGCAGAGAGCATAATGGGGTATACGTGGATAGGTGTGTGTGCACCCATGTAGTGGGGAGGGGTGTGTATGAATCTGTGTGTAACCTGCGATGATGGTTAAGTATCAGTGTGTGTGCCTGCCTTAGCTGGGGTGTGTATTTCTGAGTATGTTTTGGGGGCACCTCTTGTCTCTGCAGGTAGATTTTCTTGGCAGAAAGCCAACAGGGAAGGTTGTCTGCAGGATTCTGAGGCATTCTGGATGGCTCTGCGTGGGTTCAAGGGTAGAACCTTAAGTATCAGACTTATAGGAGGGAGAGAGTGGGCTGCTTTAGGAGGTGCCTCCTTTGAGAGATGGATTTTTTTCTGGAAGAGGGCGTGTGTTGTGGGGAGTAGGGAATGTGGAGGTAGGCTCTCTTTGTAGTCTAGAGGAATTTAGGGGTGGAAAGAGTCAGGGACACCCACTATCATAGGTTGGGTTCTAGTGCTGGAAGAGGATGTTTGCTTGGCTTCCTTGTCCCACTTCCCTGCGTCAGGCTACTGTTCTAGAAACCCATCTTGGAGGTTGCTGCTTGAGAACTTTTCAAGTCTGCCCTCCCTTTAAGATCCTAAGGTTCCCGAGGAGTCTGAATTTTGTGGTTGGATGGAATTGAGCGGGACTGGAGGGATGAAATCCAGTAAGCAACAGTAGGGTTGAGAAGGTGGTATGGTGGTGCTTCTTCAAGAGTTTCTGTACGGGTGTTGGTGTGGCTTATCACAGTTTCCCTTTTCCCTGGTGAGAGCCACTGTTGTGCATGGGGCCAGGGTTAAGCTTGCAGAGAGAGGGCTGAAGTCTGTGAGGTGGGGAAGGGGCTCTGATTCACATCTTGATAATGTGGTGGGAAATCAGTAACTATCTCTCTTCCTACCTAGAGGCTACCTTCTTTCCTTCTCTTCTCTCTTGTCCTTTCTCTTTTGGAGAAGGAAGGGCTGGCCATCCCCTTCAGGACACAAGCCTTTTTCCCCAACAGTATGCTCTCAGCCATTTTCCTCTTGCTGCTAGAGGTTAGGTGGAGACACCCAGTTTTAAATGCCGAGGCTGTGATCACACATGCCCATTAGGGTCTCTGGGCAATTGCAGTTGGAATGTTAGAGTCTTTAATGGGCATGTGCAATTGGAATGTTCCCTCTTTAGTCCTCAGAGCTCCCTACCTTTCATAAAGCCTGGGAATAAGAATAGTGAGGGCTAGAAAATGTTAGGACCAGGAATAGGAGCAGAATAGGAAAAGGTCAGGTTATGTATTTTTGTAAATACACGATTTCCCCAAACCGGACACCCGTCTGATGGTAAGGGTTCGTAGGGCTCACAAGGCACTGTGTGTAAGATGATGTGCTCTGGTTTTCTGTGGTACTCTGTTTGCTCTGTATATACTCTCCACATGCCTGACATGTACCGGTGGGGGCTCTCCTCCAAGGAGGAGGAATTGTGGTCAGACAATAGGAAGTGCTATTTCAAAAACTACTTCCAGATTGGAAACCAGTGGCCACACTGACCCCTCCTTCCCCATTGTCTTGATCCTGCCTTCTGTTTCCTGTAATTCTTCCAGAGCAGGCCTCTCTTCTTGTGTCTCCCTCAGTTCCATCGGATCCTTCTAGGTCTGAGGAAAGGTTCCTCTTTCCCTGGCCTTAGAGCAGTACCAACTTTTATTTGCTCACCTGGAGGAAAAGATCTCAGACTCTGCTCACTCCCTCTGAGTTTTTGGGACTCCCGTCTTCTCCTTTTCTTGTTCCCTCCCTTCTCTGTGATGCCAAAGGGAAGAGTCAGACAGAGTTGGTTGGAATTAGTACTTAATGGTGGTGTGACTGTGGGCAAGTTATTAAGCCCCATTCCTCAGCCTCTTAGGTGTTCCAGGGCACTGTCTACCAAGCCCAGGCTGAGCCTATCCCCAAGGAATCCCAAGTCCTTCCATCAGTATTCCTTCTTTCCTGGCTTTAGCTTGCTCTTAAGTTCTGGCTCTGCCTCTTCCTCTTCTGTGACCTCAGACAAAACAGATAAGGTTTTGAAGCCTCACCTGGTAAGTACAGTTAATAACAGGCCCCACCTCTTGGATTTATGGGGAGCAAATAAAATAGTCTGGAGGGTGTGTCGCACAGTGCCCGGTGCATGGGAAGCGCTCAGTAAGTGTCAGATGGAATGGCCCAGATTCTGACTGGGGAGGAAGGAGGTCTGGGCAGTGGGGCATTGCCTACTATCTGCCAGGTGTTGTGTGAAGAAGCACCAGGGATGGAGGGGCAAATAAAACAGGCTCTCACAGGGGAGGCATGCATAAACACATTGGTTCCCTGTATCCCAGTGAGGGCTGTATGGATATGTGTCCTGGGGCCACTGGTGTGTAGAGAAAGTAGGTAGTTCCCTGGAGGAGATGTGCTGGTAGCTGGACTTTTAAAAATTAAGGTGACATTTATATAACATGAAATTAATCATTCTGAGATGAATAATTCAGTAGCATATAGAACATTGACAATGTTGTAAAACCATTTCTACCTATGTTTGACCCCAAAAGAATTCCAGACACCCATTAAGCTGTTGCTCCCAGTCTCTTCTGCCCAGACCCTGGCAACCACCAATCTGCATTCTGTCTCTGTGGAGTTACTTGTTTTGGTTATTTCATATAAATGAAATGAGATAATGTGTGACCTTTTGTGTCTGGCTTCCTTTGCTTAGCATAATGCTTTTGAAGTTCATCTAGGTTGTAGCATGTATCAGTACTTCATTCCTCTTCATGGCCGAGTAATATTCCATTGTGTAGATATACCTTAGTTGATTTTATTTTTATTTTAAAAAATTTTTATTGTTTTATTATTCATATGTGCATACAATGCTTGGGTCATTCTCCCCCCTGTCCCCACCCCCTCCCTTACACCCACTCCACCCCCTCCCTCTCCCCACCCACCCCCTCGATACCGGGCAGAAACTATTTTGCCCTTATCTCTAATTTTGTTGAAGAGAGAGTATAAGCAATAATAGGAAGGAACAAAGGTTTTTGCTAGTTGAGATAAGGATAGCTATACAGGGAGTTGACTCACATTAATTTCTTGTGCATGTGTGTTACCTTCTAGGTTAATTCTTTTTGATCTAACCTTTTCTCTAGTTCCTGGTCCCCTTCTCCTATTGGCCTCAGTTGCTTTTAAAGTATCTGCTTTAGTTTCTCTGCGCTGAGGGCAACAAATGCTAGCTAATTTTTTAGGTGTCTTACCTATCCTCACACCTCCCTTGTGTGCTCTCGCTTTTATCATGTGCTCAAAGTCCAATCCCCTTGTTGTGTTTGCCCTTGATCAAATGTCCACATATGAGGGAGAACATACGATTTTTTGGTCTTTTGGGCCAGGCTAACCTCACTCAGAATGATATTCTCCAATTCCATGCATTTACCTGCAAGTGATAACATTTCGTTCTTCTTCATGGCTGCATAGAATTCCATTGTGTATAGATACCACATTTTCTTAATCCATTCGTCAGTAGTGGGGTATCTTGGTTGTTTCCATAACTTGGCTATTGTGAATAGTGCCGCAATAAACATGGGTGTGCAGGTGCCCTGGAGTAACCTGTGTCACAGTCTTTTGGGTATAGCTCCTTAGTTGATTTTAAAGGACAGTTAGGCAGATAAGGAAGGGGCTTAGGAGGGCATTGCTGGTAGAGGATGGACATGAGCGAGAAGGAAAATGGGTGATTGGTATTGCCGCGTCTTGAAGTATGAAGTAGGGATCTGGCCTCAGATCCTGGCTATAAAGCAAAGTTAACAATCCCTTTCCTTTCTTGTTCTGTGGGGTTGGTGGAGGTGGAGATATTAGGGGAAATGAGAGGCTGGAATATTATTGCTTCTTTTCAGGACCTTTTTAAAATTTATTCTTTCCTGGCATCTCCCCCCTGTGTGCCTCTACCTTCATCCCTGTGCATGCTCACTTCCCTGCTTTCTTTGGCGTCAACTTCCCCTCTCTCTGAATTGACATAAAATTTCTCCTCTTACTGTCTAAGGTGGGTAATCCTGT